AGGGGGGAGAATCCAAATAAATAAATAAATAAATGAGGCTGCTTGGGGAACCTTGCCAACCTCAGAAACAGTCTTTGGTGAGAGGAGGGACATGTAGCCCTGGGGCTACACTGTCAACCCCAGCTATATCAGGAATGATTGGGTGTTCCTATTGGAGTATAACTTATGCCTGTGCCTATAGAATTAGGAGAAAAGTGGGGGGGGGGTTACCTTCCTCATAGCTACATTGATTATGTCTATGGTCATTTGGTCAGTGTGACTGTGAAGAGGTCACTTCCTATCTCCTCCCACTGTACTAAAGGTTAACAGTTGTACAACTCTTTGTTTTTCTTCTTTCCGCTGTTGTCCAACATGGATTCAGCCACAAGCTTGTTCCTCTGAAGATGTTTTAATTTCTTACCTGCATGCATAAGGGTCAGCTCTAGGGATTCTTGTGCTATGTATAGTTTTCTCTATTGATTACTTATTTTTCTAGAAACTAGATGTATTCTTGGTAATAATAAAGTAAGTCTTATTTTTACTTCATCTATGTATCCTGTTTATTTACCAGAAGCTCAGATATATACTGTTGAGGCATATGCTACTGCTACTTAGCTTAATCTAGCAATATTAAATTTGATCCACTACCAAATTTCTATATAATATCCAACAGTCCCTATTGCAAAAGAAATGAAAAAGGTGTCCACACTTATCTTTAGGCAGAGTCAAGCATTTTTCTGAGGCAACAAGAACTGAGTGGTACCAGGGGCAGAGACATGTCTTCCAAGTAGCCTGTCCCATGCCCACTAGTTTACTTCAACCACAGTGCAGGAGGCTGTCCTATTCTCAGCTGCGGTGGTTGGTGGTCCTCATGTTAGTAGGGCAGTGAGTCTGCTCTGGGTTTTGTCTGAATTTTAAAGGAAATAGCCAAGGTGCTGAACCTGATTTAGGGATAGGGGCTGGTACCTTGGGTTGCTGGTTTAAAGTTCCTACTAAAACCCAAGGCAGGTTCACCAAACACTGACATGGAAGCCACCAGCCCCTACTGGTTGCCAGTGCTAAAGTAAGATTCAGCTGCTTGTCTGTTCAGAAGGAGGGAGTAATCTTTTTCTTCACCTTAGGTTGCAGAATGTTTTGGGACAGGCTTATTAAAAATTAAGTTCAAGAATTTATTTTTTTAAATATTTTGAACAAATTCTTATGGGCCAATTCATACACTGCTGGGTACATGTGATTCTCTGACTTCCTATTCTGATTTACTGTGGAAGGGACATGACTCTTCTATATTAAACTAAAGGAATTGCAAAGACTGACACTTCTATCACTTCCTAGCTGTCTGCATTGAAAAACATACTGCACTGCTTCTAAAGCTGATTTTAAAGTTTGGATAACTGACTATCAGACATTGCCTCAGAATGTGCTTTGTTGTTGTTTTTGTTTGGACAGCAACTGCTTCTGTTATTCCTCCTCTTCCTGCTCAGCACTGGATGTGTGTTTGTGTTTGTACCTTTAAGTTGCCTGTCAACTTCTGGTGAACCTCATGGATTTCATAGGATTTTCTTAGGCAAGGAATACTCAGAAGTAGTTTTGCCAGTTCCTTCCTCTGAAATAATAGTGGAAGAACATACTGAACCAATATCTGTGAGCTTTTCCAGCCCCTTCCAGTTCTGCTGGGAATTGGTGGATTCCCTGGGATGCAACACAAACTGATTTGAAGCTATGTGTGACTGGTAGCTCAGATATGACATGATATATGCATGGGAGGCACTTCTCTCCATCTCACCAACTTCACAGGCATGGTTGGTGGGAATACAGGAGAAGGCTTTCTCTGTGGCAGCTCCAACTCCTTGGAACTCTGACTCTTTGGAGAGTTAGAATGGCTCCTTCTTTGTTTTTCTTAAGACCTTTCTTTTCCAGCAAACTTGATTTTAATAAAACAAAACAAGACCTTTTATGGTGCTGCACTGTTTTTGGTGTTGTACTGGTTTTAAAGTAAGATTTTAATTACTTTTAATTCTTTTGTTATTTAATACTATTTTACTCTTAATTTTGTATGGTTTGAACTATATGTGTTTCACCATCTTAAATAAATAAATAAATAAATAAATAAATAAATAAAGTACGTTAGGTAAGTAAGTAAGTAAGTAAGTGCTGGATGAATGGATGGATAGATAGACAGATAGTCCAAACAATAGCCACATTAGAGCAAACTGATGGTTCAGGGAAAGTGGCTTGTTATGCAAACAGTATTAAAGCTTGCTGGGAGCCAATGTGGTTTAGTGGTTTGGGCATTAGACTGTTACTCTGGAGACCAGGGCTCGAATCCTCACTCAGCCACAGAAACCCACTGAGGGACCTTGGGCAAGTCAAACTCTCCCAGCCTCAGAGAAAGACAATAGCAAACTGTCTCTGAACAAATCTTGCCAAGAAAGCCTTGTGATAGGTCTTCCTTAAGGTTGCCACAAGTCAGAAACAACTTGAAGGCATACTAAGAACAAATCAAAGTTTGGGATAAGTTATTTAGACCAGTTGTTTAGACCAGTTCTCAGAATCATAAAATCATCATGCCACCCTGAACATACCTAACTGTGTCTGATTTGAGAGGCTAAGCAAAGTCAAGCTTGTTTAGTCCTTGAATGGAAGATGATTCCCTGGGAATACCAGGGGGCTTCCAGGCTGGACTAGAAAGAATCCTTCATAAAACCCTGGAGAGCCATTGCTACCAGAGTTAGCAGTATTAGGCTTGGTGGTCCAGTGGCCTGACTCAATGTAAGGCCGCTTTCTGTCTTCCTAGACTCTCACTGCTAGTGTGGCTTCTGCCATGCTGAATGAGGACTGTGGAAACCCTCATCCAAAAGTGTAACTTTCCCCAGTGGCTTGTTAAAAGCAATTCCTTCTATTACACATTGAAGTGCTTAAAGAGTAATTTGTTGTTCTTTTTGCTATGTAAAAGAGAGCGAGAGTCCTACATATGCTTGAATTTATACATTTTAGATTGTATTCAGTTGTTAGGCTAAAACTGAGTAGAGCCATAGGATCAATGGGAGTTTGGTACATCAACATTTATGTAAAGTGTCTTTCATCTGCCCCTAACAACTGAACCGAACCCTTTTTGTTCTAATAGCATTTCTATCCTCTCCTTTTTCTTCCTTGTAAGCCACCTAGAGAGAAAAACATGGGAGAAAAAACATGTTATAAATCAATCTACCAATAACATGTGAAACAATCTTGTTCTGGTGTGTGCAGCTATGTTGTGTTTCATTTTCAGCAGGCCTAACGTATCATGTGTACTGTACATAGTTCCTTCAGTGTCATTCTATATCAAACAAAGGGTAGCCCAAGTTAAGAAACGCCAAGTTATTTCAAGGGTGGAGTTAAATATGTACTTACATTTTTCCCACTGAGATCAAGTTGACTGAAAGGTGCTCAGCTTTTGGGTCATGCCCACATTGATCTCTACATTGATATTTCTGTGTTTGAAAAGTACAGTATAAGGAGTGATTGGAATCACCGAAATGGCCATTTCCCTACCAGGTTTATTGGACTAACATTGTTTGGCGCTGTAGAAACCAGCACAGCCAAATGCTTACTCAAGGCAGCATGTCATCCATAAGAAATGCATTCACCATCACATTCAAAGCCTGAAGAATTTTATTTTTATAAAGTTGGATTTTTTTACAGAGGAATTCCTCTAGTTGAAATATATGTCTCTTTTAAAAGCAAACAAACAAACAAAGGGAGGGAAGGAGGGAGGTGGTCTTGAAATTTAGGAAGCGCTTGGCTTACATGTTTCCACAGCACAGCTCATATTGAAATTTGTTTTCCTTTCATCTCCTTCCCAGTAAAAGCAGCAGTGCGGCTTATCCCTTTAGCTTCCTCAGAACTTCCTTTCAGGATTCCCGATCTATTACAGCACATTCACATACCAGAAACAAGATGCCTTTTCATGCTGTCAACCTTTTTCATCTGAAATGTAAATTAATTCTTGCCTTGACAGAGATCAAAGTGGGGGTATTAACCTTATTGGACCCTTCCCTCATCCAAATCTGTTCCAAAGACTGTGAGGGGGGTGGCTTGTGGGGAAGGCCCAGTCTTTAGTGTTATCTGTGGCCCTCCTCCAGCCTCTCCCCCTGTCTACAAGCCCCCATTTCAAAGGCTGTGGTTTCTTTTGCAAATGACTTTATCATTGCTTCATAGTCTGTTGTGTGGATGTACGCATGCATGTGCAGGGAAGGGGAAGTACCCGCCCTAATTTCCCCGAATTAATTCTTCCAGAATAAGCCTGCCCATTTTAATTGTTAGGTGGAGGGGGACTTTATTCAGAGTCCAGGATATTCTGAGTGGTTTTGACAGCGAGAGATCTTGGCTTGATAGAAAGTAGATATGCAGGGCTTTCTTGGTAAGGAGGAGGGTGGCAAGGTGCCAGGAGACACCCCTTCCCCATTTGTTCAGGTTGTTCCTTTCCCTAGGAAGGCTGTCTTTTGAGGTAGACTACATTTGCATTTTGAAAATAAACAGATGCCTATTAAATACATGACTGGTTGGGCTGGGCATCCTCTGTGGGACTCCGCAGTATAGCAGCCTTTGAAAAATAAAATGTGGGAAACAAAAAAATTGAAGCGTTCCCACAAGAGTCTTTTTAATTGCCTTGAGGCTTCCATTGTGGTGTAGAAAGCTGAGATAGAAACATTGTAATAAATAGCAAGATGTTAAAAACCCCGGTGTGTGAGAGAATACATTCCCTAAGAGTAAAGTACTGAGGTGAAGTAGCTGTATAGAGGTGAGGGTAGGAAGCTGATAACTAGAATTTGAAATCTGGTTGGGTTTATTTAAACTGCTGTGAAAATAGAGCTGGAAATGGGGGTTATGTCTACTCCTCTTTGCTTTAGAGAGCTGAACCAGGTCCTTTATGGAGGATTGGCTTCTAGTCATAATACCTGTCTGTACCTTCAGTAACAGCAGCAGTATATCTCAGCATACCAGTTGCATTCAAAAAACCCCAAAGAATAATCCTGAAATCTGGATGGAAGTTCTCTCCACCCAGCAATTAAATTGGGCAGGCATGTTCAATTCAGACAAATTTGACTTGTGGGCTTTTCATAAACATTTGATTGGTCATTTCAGAAAATGGAATTTGGCCTAGATTGGACTGATCCAGCATGATGCTTCTTATGTTCCCAGTTCTCTCTGCCCCAGCTCCTGGGTTGGTAGAAACCATTATTCTGTCCCCTATTTCCCCACATCATACAAAAGCTTTTGGTGGTATATTCTGAAGGCCTTCTAGCAAAGAGTCAAGATTACCTCAGAGCTCTCTATGAGAAATTTTCCAGCTCAGTGGCAGAGCAAGTGCGTTAAGATCTCAGGTTACATCTCCTTATCCACTTAATGGATACTGAATCAGGTAGCAGGCCCCTGTGTTATTAACAGAGCTGAAAATAGTTTGATTCAGTGGATAAGGCAGCTTTTAGTATCCTTGCAGGAATGTGGTAGCCCAAGTGCTATGAATTTAGCTCAGCTCTTTAACATGAGCACAAATGTGCTTTTTGTTTTGCTTGTGTAGGGGATCTTGGTATTGTTAAGAATTATTTTATTTATTCATTTTAAGAGCTTATACTTTAAAAATGAGATTATTTCCAAGGTATCTTATGATAGATTAAAACAAAAACAAAAATGAAATACAAAGCAATTCAGATAACTGATAGTACCATCTGTATAATAAACAGGACAATTATATCCTGTTTAATGAGTGAAAAAACAAAACAGCTTTTTCCTGGTAACTTATCCGGGGTAGCCATGTTGGTCTTATAGCAAAGTATAATAACATCCAAAATCCACACATCAGCGATATCTTTATTAAACCAACCAAAATACACTGAATACATGTCTCAAGCTTTCAAAGATCCATGGGCAAATCTGTTAAAAATCATATAATAATAATAATAATATGCGAGGAGGAAAAATATTACGATCTTAGTCCCAGGCCTGCAGCTTGCGACATGTATTTTATACATTCGGGTTGGTCCAATAATGGTGTCACTGTTTTGTGGATTTTGGCTTTTTCTTGGTTTCCAGAAGACTGGATCACTCACCACATGATTGCCAGGAACATTGTGCTCATGTTCCAAATGGAGGGAGGGGTCCCTTAAGAGACAATGACCTGTCCATGCTAAGTGTCCCACCTGTGTTTCCAAAGGTGAGGGTAAGGCTCTTATTACACAAATAATTATGTACAGAGGTATTCATTTCCAAGATGCAATTGAGATGAAGAGGCAATGCAGACTACTTTGGGGATAGAGTGCAGCACCTTACATACCTCCTTTAACGTTTGGACTGACGTCTAGAGCAGATTCACTGCCCCACTGATATGGAAGCCATCAGCCACACCTGGCTTAGATGGACTTGCTATAAGCCGGGGTGTTACTAGGCGGGTGAAGGGATACTGGCTGCACCAAGTGACACCCTAAAAGAGGATAACACCACTGCTCTGGAAACATCTGCCTTTTGGCAGAAACAGGCTATGGCATTGCCTGTGACTCTTTAAAATGGTGAAAAGATGGTATGAGTGGGATGAGGCTCAGTGGGGAGAGAAAAGAGAGGCCCCAATGGTTTTTTTAAATTAAATTTTAAATATTAATTTTAAATATCGATATATATTAAGGCCAGGGGTAGGCAACCTTTCCCCTTTAAGGGCCGAGGGACTTAAGTTCCCAGAAGCCTCAGCCATGTTGGCCAATAGTCCCATGTTGGCCAATAGCTCCTGGGATTCTGGGAGCTGAAGTTCCTCAGCCTTTAAAGGGGAAAGGTTGCCTACCCATGATTAAGACAAACAATGTTTTTATTCTTTTAAAATTGTCTTTAAAAAATCACATCTTACCACATTTTCACTTGAACCACATGAAACTATTGTATATACATGTAAATACATTCAGGCTGTGCATATGATATTGTAATTTAAAAGTATAATTTTAATTTGGCTAGTTGTTTATGTCACAACTATAACCATTACATTCAGTAATATATGAGAATTACAATTTATGAGTAACTTTAGTGCAAAAAAGCATTACTAGGGATTCTGTATAGTGTGGTATGGGAGGAGGTCAATGGGGAGGGTGACACCATGAGTTACTGCACCAGGTGACACCACTGGCTCTGAGTAATCTTTTGGTGTCTGGGAAAGTCCCTGGTTGTTTTCTCCACAAGATCCATTCCTTGCAGAACATGATTAAAAACTGGAAGCGAATGAAGAATTAGATTGACATCGAACTCTAAGGAAGATGTTTTAAAGACCGAAACACATACGCATTGTTACTATTCACTGTTCATCATTTGTAGTGGAA